GCATTTGTCCGGATCGTCCCGTAGGGAGGGCATTTTGTCGGACCAATTCATTAAATCCGAAGTGAGAAAGGGTTGGTGAGTAAAGACCATACGGGGCGGGTCTCCTGCTCTGGCTGGGGGGATAGGTAATGCCCTTAAGGGAAAAGCACCTTCTACTTCACCGTTCGGTAAGTTATCCCTATTCCGTGTTCTACTGGAGACAGGTCCCTCCCGTTCTCCGCTTAGCAATTGGCCGGCGAGTAGGGGTCCTAAACCCAAGTCCGTTTGATCTCCTCCCGGGTTGGAAGTGCTTGGGGAGGGGTCGGATGGTGGTGTCGTTGTTATACTTTGAGGGGGGGCGGCAGTGACCTGATTTGTTGATCCTCTCCCGGGTCCCGCACCCCCCCACCGGTTTCTGCTCTGTTTTCCGGCAGGGGGTTCCAGTAGTCGTGGAGCCCGTGGTTCGGGGTAATAGAAGGGAATGAGAGTCCTATCTAATTGTTCCTCCTGAGCTCTAATTTCATCATATGGGGGAGGTCTGGTCGTCTTTAGAACCGCCATTTGTCGGACGATTTGGGTTTGTTGCCGTTGAAATAATTCGCGGGCTTCGACGAAGGCATTCAGGTAGTACAATTGCCGGGGTTTCTCATCGGCCAGATAAGATTTGAGTGCTTGCATCTTTACAAGGTTAAACGAGCCATGAGGTGGCCACTGCGAGGCCGGCTCTAGGTGGTGGGTAAAAGCGACCCATGCGATGTTACAAAGATCTCTCAATTTGGATTTTGAGAGTCCTTTCCTCCCTCTCAACTCCTTCCAATTTAAGAGAACAAATTGGAGAGGGGTATCAGAGTCCTCCCTCTGGCGGGAAGGCTTCGCGAAAGCCTTATCGCCTGGAGGAGTCCAGTCAGAATGTTTGGAAGCCTGGGTTCCCATTCTTCCTACGTTAAAGATAGAAGGGGGGGTAGAGACACACACGAGGGGAAGAGGGGTGATGGGAAGAAAAGGGGAAAAGGGAAAAAATATCCTTTCAGTATTTGGAATATACCTATCTTTAGACTACAACAATTTTTTTTGTTTCCAGAAAATCTTATAAATGAGCTCAAATTTCAACCACGGGACACCTTGGCCCGAGAAAACTTCTGCCACGGGACACCTTGGCCCGAGAAACTTCTGCCACGGGACACCTTGGCCCGAGAAACTTCTGCCACGGGACACCTTGGCCCGAGAAACTTCTGCCACAGGACACCTTGGCCCCGAGAAACTTCTGCCACGGGAATTGGCCTGAGAAACTTCTGCCAACGGACACCTTGCTGAGAAACTTCTTCCACGACATCTTGGCCCGAGAAACTTCTGTATTTCACTACCTCAGCGCTGTTTTTTCTTTACAAAGCTAAACCCTAGTGCGGGGCCCCAATATATGAACCACCCCTTCTACCCTCCACGACAGCCTCCTGCCTATCCTTTGAGACTAGGTTCGGAATTCCCTACTGAAACGCTTGCGTAGTGCAATGCCAGATCGGGGTCCGAGAAGAATCAAAGTTTGAAAGGAAAGCAAACGACCTTGCGTTCTCACGTACCCGGGTCATCCCTAACAAAGGTCACCAGGCAGGAGGGGCGGCTTCGTTTGCATAGTTAGGGTGGGAAGAGGTAAGAGAAATACTTGAAAGGACGCCTCCGGACGGACTCCGAAAGAGGACGTCAGGGTTAAATAGTAAAAGAGCCACGCTTTCCCGGACTTCAGTTCCAAGACGGAAAACGGGGGAGAAAAGGAGAGAGAGAGATTAAGACGTTCCTGGACGACTCCGAGAGGTAACGCCGGAAAAACAGTAAAAGTACCACGATTTCCCTGGCCACTTTCCGAGGGGGAAATCGGGGGAGAGGAGAGAGCTTAGAAACGTTCCCAGCCGACTCCGAAAGGTAACGTCAGAAATGAAAGAAGAAAGTCTGGCTGTCGTGGAGATATTCCCTTTCCAACCCTCCTCCCTCTGTATTTTCTTCAGACCATACTCACGTTCGAAGATGTCCCCCGCAGATCCCGGGATCCTTTCCTTTAGCCGGCTTTACCTCGCCTTTGCTCTCTCTGGTTGGGCTTCTGGTGACGGTTGATTACGCCCGCAAAGAGGAGGCAGGGAGAGGAAAAAAGGATCCCCGGGCTAAGGTTGCCCAGTGGCGCCTGATCCCCTCTATCTCCCCCTCTCACCTTTGCAGGAGAACCAAGGGTCCCTGAGCACGGTCGCCAAAAACTGTTACCGGAAAATCCGAGGGTTCTCTTGGGCAAATGAAGACACCGACCAGAGCAATTTAGAGCAAAACAGCAGCCAGTAGGCTCGGTTTTTATTCAGAAGGAAAACTGTCGTGACAGGACTCCCACCGCCCACCAAGTGAAGCACGATGGAAGCCCCGAACAAAGGACGACCCTAACTTTTATAAGTTGTTAATCCCCTACGCTACACCCCCAAAATTACATCATATGTACATCACGATTATATTAAAGTTAGGAGGAGTCGAGGAGGGGCTACACAGGTAATTTGAGTGTCCTGACACCTGGCCGGAGCCTCCTCTCCCCTCCCCACATGGGTCATTTCCAAGAACAAAGGAGAAGGGTGAAGTTTTCCTGCCCCCCTGAGGGAATTCCGTCAGAGTCCGATCACAGTCTTTTGTGTATGTCTGCGCGGAATACACCAAGATATGCAGTTCATTGTGTCTTTGATAGCCTCCTGTCTGAGCCGATCACTGATGGCTATCAAGGTGGTCACGTCTAGTAGGAAGGAACACAGAGTACGTGACTGCTCGGTTAAGGGATTATGGCCGCTTGATTTCGGACCACCCCCTTTGATAGTCTTTGTAATATCCAGCAGAATAAAAGTGGTCCGGTGAAAATCCGAAGTACGGCTGATTTTTAGTGAATTTATGAAGAATATTGTCTTTGAAGTTCAAAGCACTTTCGCTTTCAGGAAGCGGCTTGCTACATTTTGATTAAATCAGTCACGGTCAATTGAACTCGGAAACCTTGTATTGAGAGCTGTCAAAGGTAAGGGAGAGCGGCAGTAGCCTGCAGTACCTGCG